GATCTTAAGGAACAAAGACAGGCAGCTAATTACACTGAAGGTTTTGCCACGCATAGCACTTTAAAATGCAGTCCTGAGGTGGTGTCAATCTCACAGGTGGCAGATTTAAGTTTGCTCTCCATTTAGAGGGTATTTTGTGGAGCGCAGACAGTGAATCCCCTGCTCAGAGCAGAGGCAGACACTCGAGCTGGATCACATGACCATCACAATTCAAAGTGTTTGCCCCACGTTACAACTTCACTCAAGACAAGAGCAGGCAGTATTCCGGCCCATAGTTCTGTTACCAGACAGAATTAATCCCAATTTATCTACTTTTGAAACCCTCCTTATTTTTCTATAATCACTCTTTTCCTTCCACATCAGTACTTTGATCAGCATAAATATTGACTGAAGTAGTTAATCTAAAGTAATTCCAGTAGCTAACACTTCCCTTCCAATGAAACAATGGAAAGAACATATGCACCAGTATCAGGGTCTGGAAGAATGTCCTTTAAAAACTATTTTCCAAAGAACAGGTTAATAGTGAAGGCACAGGCACTGGTTTTATTTAATACTGTAATACAGACATAGAATTATCTCCAGTGCCCAGGGTGACTCCCCTCACGAGGAGGCGACAGAGGAGGTTCAGCTATCAGCCTTGCCACGTGGGACTCACGAGCACGGAAGCACTTTTGTTATCTTTGTGAGAAACTTTTCTGCCAGTGAAACAGAAACAACCCTGCACAGCATAAAGCATCAGCAAGCTTCAGAGGCGCCCCACCAGAGTTTCACTTACACAGGCACTGCAGATAACCCTCCACACACCCATCATACCTTCTGCTTCTCAGAGTGGTTGCTGGCTTGCTTAGCAGCCTCAGCCAGTAACTGCTCATACTGTTTGTGTCCCTTGTACTCGCGAACCCGCTTCTCATGCACCCAGGCCCTCTCTGGCTGGTTGCTAAAAAACTGAACGTGGTATTCACGGGCACCTGAAAATGAAACAGTCTCATCAGCAGTTTTAACCAACATTGCTTTGTGGGTTTAGCTTACACCTTCCTCCCCCGCACGGCTCGACTCCTGCCGCTGCAAGTCCCTGGCTGAAGCTTAGGAACAAGCCAGGCCTCAGTTTAGAACAGTTTACCATGGGGAGGTAAGTACACCCACACTGAGCACTCTCACTTCTCCGTGTGTTCTTGTAAATACACTGACTTGGGAGAAATGGGAGTGTCTGGGCACGAGCCTCCTCTGCACAGGCCCATCTGTGGAGGCAGCTGAGCAGGAACTAGTTCTGTACACTTGAGGCAGAGTTCTGCTTAAGCAGAATTCATCCCACCAAAGGGACTTCAAAGATAAGATATTTTTAATAAAGACACCTGATATACTCTGGCAAAGATCTTCCTTCCTTACCTCTCGTATTAATTTTGGTATGAACATCAAGCTGTGGATCACATGAAACCATGCAAGGCCACCACGGGTACGTTCCCACCTTGGACCAAACCAGATCGCCAACCTGAAACTTGATGTCGTGGGTGACTTGTGTTGGAAGAGAAGGCAAGAACTGCTGGACCTGAGAAGGAAAGGCAAGCTTGAAGCCACAGAAGACAACACAGAGACACACACATCATCCACAGGGACTCCTTTTCTCTCAGGTATCCCTGAGGCTGGATAATCTAACCAGGAAGGTGACAGAAAGGAGCTACATACAGCCAGGACTTACATGTGACAGTCACCAAAGACCCACAACAGCAACCCCCCTCCACCACCCCAAAAAATCTGCTCCTAAGCTGATTAAGAATGTTGCTTTGGAGATAAAATAAAGCAATACAGTACAACAAGAGACATTTTGATGCAATAATGATTGATAGAGTTTCAAAGAACTGGCAACTGATTTATCTAACAAATTAGAGAATCCATGTAATAATTAGCCCAAAAACAGTAACAGGCCATAAGTTCAAAAGGTGTTAATTAGTAGATGTACTAACCGGGGTCTCCTCCAGCACGGCATCTTCTCTTGGCCTTTCTGACTGCATGCTAAGCCTCTCATTTGGTCTCTAGGGAATGGGTGACAATGAAGAGAAAAAGGGAAAACAAACACAAACGAGGTAAGGGGACAGTAAAACAAAAAAGCTAATAATGAAACCAGGTAGGAATATAATTCATAGAAAGGCATCCATGAACCCAGAAAATAAGATTATGGTGAATCCTTACACCCAATTCAAAAGAGCAGCCTCACAATCAAAAGCCACATTTTTCCCTGCACTACCTGTATTACCATCACACCTACATACAACCATGTTCCCTGGTGACAGAAGAACATCCTCTCAAGGACAGTAAACCCAAATAACTTTCCACCTAAATTCATAAACAGCTTGAAGGAAACAGAAGAACACATGAAGGATATCCACAGTAACGTGACGAGTGTCACTGTGTACCAGCTATCTGCCAAATCTGCATCACAAAAATGGCATTACATACACAAAACAAAAAAATTTAAAATCAATATTAAATTGCATTCAGTTGACAAATACATTTGGAGGCTCAAAAGGCAACACCATAAAGCCTACGATGCATTTTTCAAGCCAGGCACACACCCCATTCTGGCAGAGCAGCACAGGAAAAGGTTTTGGCAGCAGAGGGATCACCACCAAGCAGAAGCCAACACCACTGGTGGAGTGGCCACGATAAGAAGTGTGATGGCACCATGGCTCAGAAGATAAGAGGTGGGCCAGGAACTATCTAACGAGGCAGAGACTCAATACCTGCTTTTACTTGAGCAGAGAAGAATTCAGTAGTCAAGACTGAAAGAGCAGCAAGAAGGAGTCAAACACATGCAGTGAGAAACTAATAAAGCTGTTAATGCAAATTATACCTAGCCCATTTAAAAGAAAGACCCCACTTTAGTCAGTGCTGCATGCTCCAACTCAGGGAATAAGGAAACACACGTGGAAACATCATCTAGAACAATTCAGGTCAGTTCTGGGATAGGTCAGTGTCTCAATCTAGAGCTGTCTGTAGAAAACAATCACTTAAAACCAATCGTATTAATGCTTGCTGGAGAGAAATCTCTCCTCCCCAGGACAGCAGCAAGCACAGCAGTGACTCCAGCCTCTCCCTGCTGCAGCAAGTTCGTGGAACCTTCCCCTCTGTCAGCAGGGGCAGGCTGATGGCACAGCCTGCAGGTCCCAGCTCCCCACAGAATGCAACCAACAGCAGAGCTGCTCATCCTCAAAACGAGTATGCCAAGCTTAAAGGTCAACAATGTTTTCATAACATTTTCATTTCAAATCAGCCTTTCAAGCATGAACATCCCCCAGTCAGTAGGTTTCCACAGAGTGCAGTGTCAGAATGAGGGAGAGCTGCAGATCACCCGCTTTCAAACTGCCACGCTGAGCAGAGCAGCAGAAAACAGCCACAGCTGATGGTTGTTCCCAGTAAGATGACCCCAAGTGACAAGTCTCATATCATTAATACTAAAAGATGACAAGAATGTACATGGAGAATCGACATGAGGATGGAATTGTGTAGCAGAAAGCCAAATGGTGGGAGGATGAAACTGAGACTGCACTGGATAGCTCGTAACTAGCAGAGAATCCTGCCCACGAGAGTGCTCTGCTCTGCACAGGGTGAAGAACATGAGAGACTTCAGTGCAACAACATCCTTTGAAAGGGAAGTGGAAGCTACAAGGGCCACAGAAGCAAGACCAATGTTTTGGGTGAATTCTGGATGGTACATATGACCAGAACCTGGACCCTGGGAGGTAAGTTACGGTTTAGTTCAGTCTGGGACAGACAGCACATTGGAAAAGACAGAAGATCATGCTCTTGTGATAACCAGGTAACACCAGTCAAACAGAGGGACAGCTGGAACACCAAGAGTATGATCAGAGTTCCTGGCAAGAAGGAGGACAAAATGGCAAGGCAAACCAACAGCCTGACGTGAGGGTGATGGGAGCCTGGAGAAAGGTCCCGTTCGATCCAGCAAGCCCAGATAAAAGAGTGTCTGTAGCTGAACTCCGAAAGAACGGAACTGCTGCAGCTTTAGTGAGAGGTGGTGTTGGGTGCATGGCTAGAGAAGCACATGAAGGGCAGGCAGACAGCACGTGAGCAGCAGACAGGTCCAGCCGGGCTGGCCATGAGGACAGAGCCCTCCTTCCACCTCTCTCTGCAGGCACAGCACAAGTGCAAGGGACGTGCATCTGGGCACTGCCTCCCCTCACACCCACCTCCTGGCAGCAGCTGCTGGCCACACCAGTTCCTGCAGCCACTTGGATGTGGCTTCAAACAGCACTTCTGAGAGCAAGGAAATAACCTACAAATGCAGTCATAGTTGGCTCATGCTGTAGTTGGACAGTTCAGGTTTGGAGTACAGTGTTTGTTCTAAGATCTTACTGAGCTTCATTAGAGTCAACCATGATAATCAAAGACAGTAGAAGCTCAAAAACTGGATACATCTCCAACCCAATCTCTGGAAGAGGTCCACTTACCAGAAGGGAGACAACAACAGCTACAAAACATGTTAATATACCTGGTAGGGGATTCCAGTGTCAAATCAGTGTGTCTGCCATTAAAAACCACCACCACTACTGATAGTTCCTCAAGCACATGAACCTGCTGTGTCAGAGCGTGGTCCCTGCAGGCCAGGATCTTCTCCCAGACCTCCCCAGAGCAGTGGGAGTATTAAGGGGTTTCACAGGAACTTACGAGGAACCCGGCTGTATTCCACAGCAGCCCAACCCAGCACGAGCTGGGCCACTTCTGTCCCCTCTCAATACAGCAACTTTGCCACCCCTGACACTCGCCACCTCTGTCTGCTCCCAGTTCTCCTCAGACTGGCAAACACAGAAACCAGGATCACAGAGCTGACAGGAATAAGCCACAGAAGAGGAAACAGCAGTAAAGAAGTGGCTTATAAAAGTGAAAGAAAAGGACTGGCTGAGAGTAGCAAAGACCAGTCATTTGTGTCTCTGCTCCCTGGAATCTAAGTTGAAACACCACTTAATCTACACACCCTGTGTACGTACAACCACCTTACAAAACTTGTCAGAAATAACAAAGACATTAATACTGAATTTTCCCAAAGTTTGCCGAGTCAACTGGTACTTCCCATTTGCCCATTGTTTTAGAACAGTAATTTCTACTGGCTTCTATATATGCTACACAGCTCTTGAGTTTCCTCCATCATCACAATATTGAGAGTATCTGTCAAAAACTCCTTAACAGCTGCAGTGCTGAACACCCCATGTCACCTGACTTTCCACCAACCAGCCCAGCCTTGTTTTGAGAGGCCATTTTCAGAGGCATATGCTCCTGGACAAAAGGGTGACAAACTCCAAACACGCTAAAACACTAAATAATGTTTTAAAACATTACATAACCTTTTCTACTGTTTATTTTTCATCAGCAGTCCTTCAGTCAACACTGTTGTCCTAGAAGCAGTTCCTAGGAACCAAACACTAAGTGTTAAGCCTCCCGACCTCAGCATGCCCTCAGCTGGAGG